CCCGCCACCTTAGGTGTATGTGGCTGGCGCCTTAGCCACTTGAGCCACAGGCACCGAGCCAGGAGCAAAGAATTTGAGTCACCTGACATGCGTATTCTCTGCTGAGGTCGAGCACAGCGATGCTGCCTTCTTGTTTCAGCTCTCATATCGTGAACACGTGTCTGTTTTTTTGTGGCTTATTCAGTGGCACGTGTTAACATTTTTGTGCTTTTTCTTGGTGATTTTGCTGTTGACAAAGGCCTCAAGGATAGGCTGAAATGTTGCCTCATGTGCCTGAGCACAGGAAGGCGGTGATACACCTTATGGTGAAAATCCCTGTGCTGGTTAAGCTCTGTGCAGGAGAGAGCTATAGCACTGCCAGACAGGAGACCAGTACTGATGGATCAGCAATATATTAAAGTGTCTTTAAACAGAAACACGTAAAACAAGGTTACATATTGATCGATGAGCAAACATGTGACCAGAGGCTCACAGGAACCTAACCACTCATCTCCCCAGAAACAGTGGTTCAGTGCATGTAATTCAGTGTTTGCTGCGACTTTACAGAATATAATTATCCTGACAAGAACCAAGTGTGTTACCATCCACCCCTTGTTTCTTCATATTTCTGTTTTGATTTGGGGGGAGAAAGCTAAGAGCTAAATTTTGCCCATACTCTCTGTATTCCTTCATTACATGGTTTGTATCATATTTGAAAAAAATTTTAGTCAACTGTTTTAAACACTGTTAGGTTGACAGAATAGTTGCCACAGATTGTACCGAGAGGTCCCCTATACCTCTCACCAGGAGTGCCCCTCTTGTCCTTATTTTAACAGTTCTGATGTTTTCGCCTGAGTGGCAGTGTCCCCGGTGAAGCCAGCAGGCAGGTGTTAGTCCTCAGGGAGTTGCAGCCTGAGGGGCGAAGTCCTCGCCTTGCTCTGACCTGCCCACCACCCTCATCAGCTGTCCCCTAAATAACGATCTTTTCCTTTGGCCCTATCCGCAAAGATGGCCGCCCCCTCTACATCCTCCGTCTGGGCCAGATGGACACCAAGGGCTTGATGAAGGCTGTTGGGGAGGAGGCGTTACTGCGGCACGTGAGTGGGGGGCCCCATCGCCCGGACCCCGAGCCTGGGAAGGGCTGCCTGCCAGGGGAGCAGCAAGGCGGACGTTCAGCAGCTCCGTGTCTCCCTCTCAGGTTCTTTCCGTCAACGAGGAAGGACAGAAGAGGTGTGAGGGGAACACAAAGCTGTTCGGCCGTCCCATCAGGCAAGGACCGGGCTGGGCACACCCCGCTAAAGGACAGACAGCTGGCGTGCACTGTGCATGCCCACCGTCTCTGTTTCATGGGTGGGAGACAGACTCACTAGGGGTGCGCTGGTCAGGGCAGGGCAGGACTAGAACCTGGTGCTGTCTGGCTGTGGGGTTGAGAACTCTCTCCCCTCCCCTTCACAGTTGCCTGGGCTTTGCCTTTGACACCAGCTCTCCTGCCCCAAGTTCTACCCTGACTCCATCTCCCAGGGCCAACCAACTTCCTGGGATCACAGGTCATCCTGTAACCTGTGGTCCTCCTCTGTCTCCCCCCAATTTCTGTTCCTGAGCTGAGTTTCCCAGAGCCAGGACTTACCATGGCATCACCCCAAAGGCAGTGAACCCCCTGAGCTGCAGCTTCTTCTATAAAATGATTTTTTTTTTTTTT